TCTTTATTAAAATCCCAACTGCTTTTGCAAAAATGGAAATAATGATTTTACAATAAGAAATTGCAAAGGACCCAGACTAGCCAAAACAGTCTTGAAAAAGAAAAACAAACATACTTCCAAATTTCAGAACTTACTAAAATGCTACAGTAATCATAACAATGTATTATTTGCATAAGAACTGACATATAGATCAATGGAATAGAATTAAGAGTACAAAAAAATCTATACATCTTTGGTCAACTATTGTTGACAAGAGTGTCAAGATCATTCAATGGAGAAAGAAGTCAGTTCAACAAATGATGCTGAGCCAAGTGGATATCCACATGTAAAAGAATAAAGTTAGATCCTTATCTCATATCATTTACAAAAAACTCAAAATGGATCAAAGACCTAAGTGTAAGAGCTAAAACTATAAAACTCTTCATGAAAATATAGGGGTAAATCTTGACCTTTGGATTTGACAATGGATTCTTAGATATGACACTAAAAGCACAAGTAGCAAAAGAAAAAAAATACATATTTTGGACTTCATCAAAATTATAAATGTTTATGCATCAAAGGACACTATCAAGAAAATAAAAAGATAACTCAAAAAATGGAAGATATATTTGCAAATTATATTATAGATAATGGTCTAGTATCCAGATTATATAAACACAATTCAACAACTAAAACACAAAAACAGTCGTGAGTTAGCTCATAATTCAATAACAAAAACACACAAAAATTCAATTAAAACAATGGGCAGACATGGTCACAGCAGCTCATGCCTATAATCCTAGCACTTTGGAAGGCAGAAGCGGGAGGATCACTTGAGGTCAGAAGTTTGAGACTAGCCTGAGCAAGAGCAAGACCCCATCTCTACAAAAACTAGAAAACTTAGCTATGAGTAGTGGCAACTGCTTGTAGTCCCAGCTACTCGGGAAGCTGAGGCAGGAGGATCACTTGAGCCCAGGAGTTTAAGGTTGCAGTAAGCTATGAAGATGCCACTGCACTCTAGCCTTGGTGACAGAGACCCTGTTTCAAGAAAAAGAAAAATGAGCAAAGGACTTGAATAGGACCTGAATAGACATTTCTCTATGGAGAAATGACCAATACGCAAAATGACCAATAAGCACATGAGATGTTCAACATCATTAGTCATTAAGGAAATACAAAACTATAGGCTGGGCACAGGTGGCTGATGGCTGTAATCCCAGCACTTTGGAAGGCCAAAATGGGAGGATCACTTGAGTCCAGGAGTTCAAGACTAGCCTGGGCAACATAGTGAGACCCTGTCTTTTACAAAATCTAAAAATAATAGCTAGGTGTGGTGGCGTGGGCCTGTAGTCCTAGCTACTTGGGAGTCTGAGGCAGAAGGATCATCACTTGAGCCTAGGAGTTCAAGTTTAAAATGAGCTGTGATCGTGCTACTGCACTCCAGTCTGGGCAACAGAGTGAGACTCTTTCTCAAAAAAAAAAAAAAAAGAATATTTTATATACAGGCTCTCACTCTACACTTCTTTATGAGTTTTCTTATTTTTCCAGGCTCAATTAAACCATCTTAGTAATCCCCATTTTATAGAGTAGGCATAAAAACCACACACTGAGAAACAAGTGGCTCTTCTAAGACAAGAGGGTCAAGCATGAACAGGTCCAGACATGAAGCCCCATCCCGAGAAGCTCAGTCTACTGGGTACTTAGTTCAAAAAGCCTCAGTACCATGTGGGCATTCCATATATCATGACCTGAAGATACAAGATGTTCCTACTGGTGTCACATGCCAACTCTTGAACTAGCTACAGGTCAGTACTATTTGGAACGTGTACCAGGTCAAGGGCAAAAATTAGCTTCTCTTCCTTCTATGCTCCAGATTATCTGTTGGTTCCCTTGATGGAAAACCATCTCCAGAGGAACACATGACACAGCTGAAAATCTGAAATACGAAACAGAAGACCTAGGTTCAAATCCTAGCTCTGCTGATTAGTATCCCCATCATATCTCAACTTTCTGGGCTTCTGTTTCTTCATTTAACATCATACTTACCTCATGAGCTATGACATAGATTAAATGTGGCAGTTCCCATCCTGTGGGATACAGATCCTTAGGCATCCTGGGCTATATTATAAGAGGTCTGAAAAAGGATATACTAGAGAAAAATAATGATTTAGAAATTAAGACTGAGGCCGGGCACGGTGGCTCACGCCTGTAATCCTAGCTCTCTGGGAGGCTGAGGTGGGCGGATCATTTGAGCTCAGGAGTTCGAGATCAGCCTGAGCAAGAGCAAGACCCCGTCTCTACTGAAAAAATAGAAAGAAATTAGCTGGACAACTAAAAATATTTATAGAAAAAATTAGCTGGGCATGGTGGCACATGCCTATAGTCCCAGCTACTCGGGAGGCTGAGGCAGGATTGCTTGAGCCCAGAGTTTGAGGTCGCTGTGAGCAACAGTGAGACTCTGTCTCAAAAATAAAACAAAACAGGCCGGGCGTGGTGGCTCACGCCTGTAATCCTAGCTCTCTGGGAGGCCGAGGTGGGCGGATTGCTCAAGGTCAGGAGTTCAAAACCAGCCTGAGCAAGACCCCGTCTCTACTATAAATAGAAAGAAATTAATTGGCCAACTGATATGTATATAAAAAATTAGCTGGGCATGGTGGCGCATGCCTGTAGTCCCAGCTACCCGGGAGGCTGAGGCAGAAGGATCGCTCGAGCCCAGGAGTTTGAGGTTGCTGTGAGCTAGCCTGACGCCACAGCACTCACTCTAGCCTGGACAACAAAGCGAGACTCTGTCTCAAAAATAAATAAATAAATAAATCAAAACAAAACACAATAAGACTGAAAGCCCTGAAGCAAAATCATCTGGGTTCAAACAATGGTTTTATCACTTACGCAAATTACTTAACCTTTTTATTTCTCAGTTCCTCATCTGTACTTGGAGAAAATAATACCTATGTTATTGGGTTGTAGTGAGGTTTAGTTGAGTCTATACATGCAAGTGCTCAGAATAGTAAGAATTCGATAAATGTTAGCTATTGTTACTATTATATGCGTTTGTGTATTCTTTCAAAGTACAACTACTGTGTCTTTTATGTTTAAAAAAAGTATCGTGGCCAGGTGAGGTGGCTCATGCCTGTAATCCTAGCACTCTGGGGGGCCAAGGCGGGAAGATTGCTTGAGCTCAGGAGTTTGAGACCAACCTGAGCAAAAGACTGTCATCACTACTAAAAATCAAAAAAATTAGAGGGCATGGTGGCATGTGCCTGTAGTCACAGCTACTCAGGAGGCTAAGGCAGGAGGATCACTTGAGCCCAGGAGTTTGAGGTTGCTGTGAGCTAGGCTAACACCACGGCACTCTAGCCCAGGTCACAGAGCAAGACTGTCTCAAAAAAAAAAAAAGAGTTGCTATACTTGAAACTTCTAAGATAATAGTTGTAAAAGAATCCAATACACTGCCTGTCATGTCCTAATCCAGAGTAGTTGAATCTACAGTTTCAAATCTTTTTAAATTTATTGAGGCCAGAACATATGGTCTATCCTGGAAAATGTCCCACATCCATGTAGAGAAGAATATGCAGTCTGCTATTGTAGGATAGAGTGTTCTATGTATGTTTGTTAAGTCTAATTGGTTTATATATAGTGTTGTTCAAGTCCTCTACTACTTTAATGATCTGCATTTTTGAAAGTGTAGTATTGAAGTCTCTACCCATGATTGTAAAACTGTACATTTCTCCTTTCAATTCTGTCAATTTTTGCTTCACATATTTTGGGTCTCCTTTGTTAAATGGCCATATAATTGTTATATCTTCTGTAGTATTGAATTTTTATCAATATATAATGTTCTTTGTCTCTTGTAAGCTTTTTTAAGTCTATGTTGTCTAATTAGTATAGACACTCCATCTCTCTTTTGGTAACCATTAGCATGGAATATCTTTTCCCATCTTTTTTACTTTCAATTTCTTTGTGTCTTTATATCTAAAGTGAGTTTTCTATAGAGGGTATATCAATGGATCATTGGTTTTTAAAATCTGATCTGCTACTCTCTGCCTTTTAATAGGAGAACTTAATACATTTATATAAAGTAACTACTGATAAGGAAGAATTTAATTCTGCCATTTAACTATTTGTTTTCTGTATGTCTTATACATTTTTCCCCTTATTTCCTCCATTAATGCTTTTTTTTTTTTTTGTATTTAGATTAGTGGAATCTAAATCCTACCTGTAAGATTCATTAGAGGCTTGGTTTTCCAAGTGATCTTCTCTCCCTCCAAATGAACAGTTCTTGATGAATATCTCCTTCATGAATCTGTCCCAGAATGTTTAAAAGAATGGACCTAGAGCATATATTCAAGGCAACTTGGATCTGTGCTCCCATGTGTCAGTCTTCAAATTTGGCCCTAATGAACTTTCTACTTATTTTTTTTTTTTTTTTTTGAGACAGAGTCTCACTTTGTTGCCCAGGCTAGAGTGAGTGCCATGGCATCAGCCTAGCTCACAGCAACCTCAAACTCCTGGGCTTAAGCAATCCTGCTGCCTCAGTCTCCCAAGTAGCTGGGACTACAGGCATGCGCCACCATGCTCAGCTAATATTTTCTATATATATTAGTTGGCCAATTAATTTCTTTCTATTTATAGTAGAGACGGGGTCTCGCTCTTGCTCAGGCTGGTTTCGAACTCCTGACCTCAAGCAATCCGCCCGCCTCAGCCTCCCAGAGTGCTAGGATTACAGGCGTGAGCTACTGCGCCCAGCCTCTACTTATTTTTTAAAAAAGAAATAAAAATAGAAATAAAAGACCTACCTTTTTGGCCATGAAAGTAGTCCCATGTTCTATCCTTGTTTTTACCCTCTGAATCGCTTGCCCCTTAGAGACACACACATCCCTGTATACACCATTAACCATTCATGCATAAAGTTTATTGCATTGTCTTTCTCTGTCTACATGTGGCCTGGGTTAGGCTGTACCCTGGAATACTTAGGAAGTCTCTTGATGACTGACAAAGAAGTGAGAGGCAAAGTGGCTTACATTGTAGGAGCGGGGATGCCTCTGCTTCCACTGCACCAGGAGCAGCTGGGCCACCACCAAAGTAGCGATGAGGATGAGGACCATTTCAGCGTGCATGGCTTCATGGCCGCGGTGCTTGGCATGCATGCGTGCGTGCTCGACCCTGAAAGCCAAACATATGGGGTGAGCCAAGTCAGGGATGATGTGGTGATAAAGGAGCAGTGATTTCCAGGATATCCCACCAGTCCATAGCTCAGAACACACTTCTGTGCTTTGCAGCTTCAGGGTACCATGCAAATTTAGGGACTAGAAGGACACATACTCTAGAGGACAGGCCATTTAAGGGTAGAATAGAAGCTCTATGGACCCCAGTAACCAAGGTCAGATATCGGGATTAGAGGTGCGTGGTCTGCTGCCTGCTCCCCATGGGGAAAAAAAGCGGACACCTTTCCAGTAGCAGGAAGGAAGTTCCAGGAGAAGCTTGTATCATTGCCCATTTCAGGCTGATTTCAACCTGACACTAGAAGAAGAAAGTAACCCAAAGAGGTTATAGCCATAAAGCCTCATACTCATAGTCAATGATCTTTATGACACTAATAAAGGAGTAACATTACAAATGTATGTGGTTTCCAGGGTTAAAGTCTTGCTTTAATCATCCTACCCTCTCTGCTAAAGCCAGAGATAGCTTGAAAAATCCAGACTGCTTCAACTTTATACAACTCCAAAAGTGACTTCACCATCAGTATCCACGGGGATATAGCCTCCTCAAAGGCTCAAGGAAATTCAGTAATTATAGAGTACAGCTGGAAACTTCTTATTACTCTAAGGCTGGCATTCTCTGCTCTTGAAGATTGGCAATGAGTGATTCCCTTGGCCACTACTGGCAAAAAGCTTGCTCTAAGAACACTCACTCCTACCACTCTGGATCAGAGTCAGACAAGGGAGAGAAATGAGGAAGAGACAAAACTGAATACCAATGTAGTTTGCAGTCAGAAGCTTTTATACAAATTCCTATTATGCCAGAGTATTTGGGTGGGAGGGAAAGGACAACATAAATGGTTTCTTTATGGATTTCCCAAGGGCAATGAAAGACTAAAATTAAAAAGAACCCAGTGGATTCACCAGCAAACTGGTATTAACTGAGTAGCACCTAAGTGGACACATAGGTACTACAGTAATAGGATATTGGGCAGGGGGAAGGGGGGAGGGTATATACATACATAATGAGTGAGATGTGCACCATCTGGGGGATGGTCATGCTGGAAACTCAGACTTGTGGGGGGGGGGAGGGCATTTATTGAAACCTTAAAATCTGTACTCCCATAATATGCCGGAAAAAAAAAAAGAACCCAGTGGGATGAGTTATGGATAAATGATAAAGCAAATATAGCAAAAATTTAATTGTAGAATCTAGGTGGTAGGTATTAAGAGTGTTCATCACTGTATAATTTTTTCAGCTTTTCTATGTTTAAAGTTTTTCTTAATAAAATATAAGGGGGGGGAATTGGTGGGCAGAGTGGGAAGCCAAATGCCAATCGGCCAGCTTTAGTACCTAAGGGTTCATCTTGCATAAAACTGTATCCTAGCTGGAAGAATATGACAGAAAGAGAATAGTATTGAGAGAACTTAGGTTCACCTCTACCTATATGGCCTTGGCCAAGAAACCTCACATCTCTACATCACAATTTCTTCATCTGTCAAAAGGAGTCTGTATCTTTTCTGCTTGCCTCATAGGGTTGTTGTATGGATAGGCTAAGCTAAGAGGGTAGAGAACACTTAAAAACACCTAAGGGCTACGGAGAGTTAAAAGGATAGCAAGAGATAAGTTTCTTGTTCTCAGACAATATATAACTGTATGTATGTGCCCAACATGAAATCAAAGAAAGAATCTATTCTGAGGCAGTCTGGAGCATTAAAAAAAAAAGGAAAATGCCAGGTGAGGTGGCTCATGCCTATAATCCTAGCACTCTGGGAGACTGAGGCAGAAGCATTACTTGAGCTCAGAAGTTCAAGACCAGCCTGAGCAAGAGCAAAACCACATATCTACAAAAAATAGAAAAATTAGCTGGGCATCATGGCTTGCACATGTAGTTCCACCTACTCGGGAGGCTGAGGCAGGAAGATCATTCCTGAGCCTAGGAATTTTTTTTTTTTTCTTGGCATATTATGGGGGTACAGATTTTAAGGTTTCAATACATGCCCATTCCCCCCTGAGCCCAGGAATTTGAGGTTGCAGTGAGCTACAATGATGCCACCACACTCTACCCAGGGTGACAGAGCAAGACTCTGTCTCCAAAAAAGAAAGAAAGAAAGGATCTAGAAGGGACCAGAGAATTCATCCAGTTCAAGTTCCCACCCAATATAAAATAACACATGCCTCTTAAGGTAATCTATTCTAGAACTAGCAGTGTCTGGCACATTGTAGGTATTCATATTTGCTTATAAATAAAATCCCAATGCTTTACAGACAGAATACTCACTACCTCTCAATATATCTTGACTATTCAAGATATTTCTGACAATGAGATAAAAATCTACTTTCCCATAGCTTCAATCCATCAGACTTAATCCTACACTCAGGAATAGCAAAGGACATATCCACTCCTCTTTCCCAGTACATTCCTTTAATGATTTATTATGATCTTATTAAAACAAAACAAAACAAAACTATCCTGTTCCTACTACCATTTTCCTGTGCCCTTTTAGGCTAACAGTCCTAGATCTTTTTACCACTGTTCATATAACATGATGTGAAGACTATTAATTCTGGTTCCCTTCTTCTAGACATGATCTAGTTAAAGATCCTCTTCATATGCAGTGCTTAGAATATCTGTAACCTCAGCAAAGCAGAGCAGAGTGGCACTGTCACCCCCGTCAATAGTAGATAGCATATTTCTATGAACATCATCTAAATTACTCAGAATATTTTGGTAGCTGAAGTACACAACTGGTGCATATTGAACTTAAGTCACCTAAAGTCATGCCATGTTTGTCATATGAATTGGTATCTTTGCCATTCTATTTTTACAATCGATAGTTTTAATCTAAATGAAGGAGGTTTTTTTCTCACTATTAAATTCTACTTGGTTGACATCAATTGGTCAATCACCTTGCAAAGTTTGTGGGGCAGGCATTCTGAAACCCCTTTACTAATGAGAAATCATTAACAATAAGATATTTGTTGATTCATTCTGGTTACAAAGCAAGTTAGTAGCAGAGCTGAGATCAGAAGACACATCTCCCATTTTCTCAACCAGAGCTCTCCATCCTGTATCATGGATAATGATGATGATGTTAATGATGATAATCATCTTCAAAACAGGTAACACTTACTGGAAGCTTATAACATGCCAGGCACTGTTCTAAAACTGCACATATATTAATCTTCACAACTCTATATAACTACTGTTATGATCCTCACATAGGGCAGACTCAGGTAGTGCAAAGTTAAATAACTCGCCCAAGATCACATAGCTAGTAAATGGCAGAACTGGTATTCAAACCCAGATGGATGGTTTGATGTTATTACCTACTTACTTCCTAGGACTGAGGGAACAACCCAGGAGTGACCCAAGTACTTAGAAAGATCCCAACAGACTGGTCCTGTCGGTCATGAGCCACTGCCTCCCACAGACAGTGAAGCAAAAAGGGCAAATGTACAACTCTATTAGCTGGATTAACCTGTAGTTCCCAGCTTGCGGGGCCCGCACTGCCATACTTACCTCCATTGCTCCTCTGGGGAGAGGTCTGACATATCAACCTGTAGAAAGATACCACCAAAAAAATCCGTTACTGTCTTAGAACTTTCCCTGCCCAGTATAAGGTATTCACGCATTCATCAATATCTTCGAGGAATTAGGGAAGCTTCAAGTTTTACAAACTCAATGAAGCCTTGCCCAATACTCTGTTTCACACTGATCTCTCTCTCCTCTATCCACTTAGTTTCCTTCATGTCTCCAACTGAATGTGTGTTGCATGCCTGTGCTAAGCAATGAGGACAGAAGAGTGAAAGAGTCCTAACTTCCAAGATGCCCAAAGCCTAGTGAGGAAGATGGACATATAAACAGGAAATTTCTTTTTTATGTGATAAAGACTAGCTATAGAAGAATAAAGAAGTAGCTTTTAACCCAATCTGAGGTGTTACAGATTAAAGAAGGCTTCCTGGAGGATATGAAATATTATCCAGATGAAAAAATGAGAGAAATATGTTCTAGACAAAGGGACTAACATGCACAGGAAGGAATAAATTTGCATAGTATACAATTGATTATGCCTCGAGTAAAACCCATGAATTAGGATTAGTAGAAGATGAAGTTAGAGACAATAGTTATTTAATGCCATGTGACTCTAAATGGCCCTATAGCAGGCAGAACACTGGATATGGGCAAACTGAGCTTTAGTTCTTGCCCTGCTATTAATTAGTGGTAAGGTCTTCCAATATCAAAGTTCTAGTTATATCTGGTAGCTGTTTGTTTTTGGAGACAGGATCTCACTTTGTCATCCAACCTGAAGTACAGTGATATGATCACAGCTCACTGTAACCTTGAATTGCTGGGCTCAAGGGATCCTCCCACCTCAGCCTCCCAAAATAGCTAGGACTATAGGTGCATGACACCATGGTTGGCTAATTTTTAAATTTTTATAGAGATACAGTCTTGCTGTGTTGCCTATGCTGGTCTCAAAACTCCTGGCCTCAAGCGATCCTCCTGCCTTGACCTCCCAAAATACTGGGATTACAGGTGAGAGCCATGATGCCCATCCTCTGGGTAGCTGTCTTTTTAGAGCAGGGTTTCTCAAACTTGGCACTACTTATATTTTGGGGAAGTTAATTCTTTCTTGAGGGGAGATGTCCTATACGTTGCCAGCAGCATAACCCCAGATGCAATAACCAAGAATGTCTACATTGTCAAATGTCCCCTTGGAGACATAAATCACCCCCAGTTAAAAACCACAGCTCTAGAATAATATGAAATTCTTTGAATTCAGGGTTCTAATCTTCTACTTCCTTGTAGGTATACAGAAACATACCCAAGTCTCAGTACATAAGTCACTTAATGCATTCTTTTACTGAATTGAGCTGAAAATGTTGTTTGATCTGGAAAAGAGAGACAAGGCCTTAGAAACAAACAAATCAACTAAAAAATATTTCTTTAGTACTTAAGATATTCAAGGCCCAGTTTCCCACTGTTCCAGTAACTTCAGAGAAGTACTGTAAGTAGCACATTTGAAATGAAACAGACAGAACTCCATTCTTCTACTGAGTCAAATTGGCACGTATTTACCAGGCATCCTTTACAGATGTACGTGTACTGTAACTGTGCATCATAAAGAGGGCTTTCTGCCTTCTACATCTCCCAGCTAATTAAAAAAACATTTCCCCATTGCTTTGCCCAACCAATTGGGGTAATAAAGTCACTACTTTCCTTCCTTTTCCTGTGTCACACATTGCCTCACAGAATTTATTCAGGTGCCCTGACTCAGGTCTTCATCTCCCCAGAAGGACAGCAGATACTCTCAGAGAGGACAAAAGGATGGAAAAAAAATGGAAAGGCCCAGATGGAAGGTATCTGAGCAGGCAATAAAGGACCACATTTCTAAAGGAACGATCAATGCACAGGTTTCATGCTATGTATCAAAACTCTTTTCTTCTTCCTTTCCAACTTGGACCTGCATCTTGCCAAGCCCATCTACTCACTGTCCCAGAACACACGGGACTCATTCCTTTGCATACTCTTCCTTCTGTTTGCAGAAGCCCTTTCCCTCTTTTTTCCCCTATACAAATCCAAGTCATTCTTTGAGAACTCAGCTCCAATTTCACATTCTCTGGAGAAGCCTTCCTTGATCCCCTACTCTAGTGAATTTGGCCCTCTGCTTTTCTCTACATGAAGTTTTCTCCTTTTTACTCAAAGTGTAAAGGACTAGCAGTATGAGCATCATCTGGGTGCTTGATAAAAATGCAGAATCTCAGGCACCACTCCAGACCCACTGAATCAGAATCTGCTTTTCAATAAGATCTCCAGGTGATTGGTATACATATTAAAGAAGCACTGTTCCATACCACACATTCATAGTCTTATGTTATCTTAAACATGCTTTCCAAGTGATCTAATGGCTTCTTAAGTTTAGAGTCAGGACCAGGGTAGGGCAAGCCAGGGACCTGGGGCTCAAAATTTGAGGAGACACTCACACTCAGGTACCTACTCTGCACTTGTATGACCCTGGGAATGAGTGCCTCTTTAAAGTTTGCACCCTACTGCCTTGTTTGCCTCATTCTAGTCCGGGCCCTGCTTGTATGTCTATCTTGCCACCATCCCATAAAACTGGAAGCCCCCTCAGAGCCAAGACACACTTTACATTGCTTTTGTGTCTACCAAGGAGAATAGCACAGTGCTGAGCATATATTAAGCACTCAATGAGTACTTGTGGAATTAAAGAGAATTATCTCCAATACAGTAATAAGCAAATATGCTGACAAACTAGCACCTCACCTGGAGATGCTTAATTTGGAGAGTAAACACACACTTGAAAAAGAACTAATAAGCATCTGGGAAAGGAGTATTCATTCGACACCTGGGAAATCAAGTTAAAAAGTATGTAACAAAACAAAACAACTACATGTTCAAGGAAGTGCAGGGGTGAGGGAAAACTTCCCCTTTCCCCTGAAAGTTCGCTGAAAGATCAACTCACAATTAAGGCAGATTAATAAGAGACAGGTTTATTTACCATGTACATGGGGAGAATCACATAGTGATTCCTCAATATCTCAATGAAGTTCAGGTATTTTTATACCTGTCCTTTTGGAGGAGAGGGGGAAAAGAGGAGTACAGGTAATTCTGTTTAGGGGGAACAAATGATGCTAGGGAGAATAAATTGATGGGGGAAACAGACTGACTTGTAAATGAGTCTCTTTGCAAATTAAATTAACCTGAGCAAATTAAATTAACCTGAGAGACAGGTATACTTAAATGATTTGGGCCAGGTCTGGTTGTGTTCTTGATCCTCTTTCCTGAAATATATTGAGATAACAGGGAGAGGAAGGGAAGTCAATTGCCTGTTTGATCTTTTGACTGGACTTAGTCCAGTTTATGCAGATAGAGGAAAAGCCCCTTCCAGTGCTTTTTGATCTTGAATGACCTTTAATTCAAAATATTCTTTACACCAAGGAGTCATATTTTTGGGTGAAATTTTCTGAGCTCCTTCAGAAGCAAGACAAGTCCATTGAAGGGAAAATTAGGAAAATATAGAGAACTCAGACAGGCATGAGGTACCTCTCTTTGAGATAGTGGACCAAGCATGCCACTGTTTATGCCTTAGTTTCCCCATCTGGATATAGAAGAACAAGACTTCTGACTTTATCATAGGGCTGTGAAGAAAGGACGTTCAAGGTGACCAAGTGATTTCAATGGCTTTCCTCCTGGGAAAGTGGACCTACTTTATAAACTACTAGAAGAGGCTGGGGAACTGAACATCAGTGAAGCTCAGGACAGTAATGCTTTCAGAGCCTCAGGGAAAGCAGCTTAGAAGGACAAGCACTAAGGCTGACACTAGGACTTGGGGCTTAGAGGACCACTACCACTTTATGGAGTAGTACAAATGTTAAGAGTAAGACATGGTCTGGCTTTAATATTTTGCCTCCTAAACAAAAAGGTTATCTAAATTACATTCAAACCAATCTTCTGGCTCAAGTGGAAAAACAAGGAAAATTGTAAATTATGGCTATAATTAACCTGTATCATCTGGAAAGACATCTTTATTTGCTCCCTCATTAAGGAGTTTATTCATTTGGGACCAAGCACTAACCCTGTCTGAAGGCACCTTGTCCAAACCTTAGGTAGCTAGTTAACTAGGCTGTCAGGGTAAGGGTACTGATTGATGGGCCCATATCCAACTCTTAAGACTGACACACTGAATGTTTTAATGCTAGCCAATCACTCCCCTCCTAAGATCTCACAAAGCACCTTAGTCATGCCAATCTACACAAGCCCAGATCTGAAAGAAGTTAAACCAAAAATGCCAGGCAGAAGGCAAGAGAAAATTTTAGCAAAGATGGAAAATAATCAGAAGTTGGCTGCTATATTTTTTCAGGTACAAAAAAGCCTTAGGGACCCACTACTGTATCCTCACAAACAGGCCTCCTGTCCCTCCCAAATAACATATACTCTGTGATCTCTGCATCTTTACACAGGGTGGTTATTTTGTCCCTTAAGCCCCGCTCTTCTACCAAATCACATTCTGCCTTGCTGCAAAACTCTGGCCAAATCCTCTGGGTTTCTGGAAGGCTCTTTAGAGAAATCCCATTCACTGAAGACACAAACACCCTCTACTGCTTTGCTAAGTGTGGTCCACAGCCCAACAACAATAGTACCCTGAGAGCTTCTTAAGACATAGAGAATCTCAGACTCCATCCCAGATCTCTTGAATCAGAATCTGCATTTTAATAGGATACTGAAGTAATTCATACATAAAGTCTGAGAGGCACTGCTACTATATCCTTAGCATTCATACTCACAAATTGCATCTACAGCCAAATGCATCTGTACATTTGATTCTTGATTTTTTTTTAAATAACAACTTTACTGAGATCTAACTCACAAACCATAAAACTCACCCAATTTATTGCATACTATTCTGTACAAAATTTCAGTTAAACAGGAAGAATTTGTTTATTCTTTTCCTTTCTTTGAGACAGGGTCTTGCTCTGTTATCTAGGCTGGAGTACAGTAGTGTGATCACAGCTCACTCTAACCTCCAACTCCCATG